GTAATCGACTAAATTTTCAATAGCGACCAACAATATCCATTAGTACCGTCCCAATGACGCGTTCATCTAGATAAAATTGAAAAACAGCAGATTTTTAGCGATGGGCCCAATCTTAGATCCATAGGCCAATATTAGAGCCATTTTCCCTACCATGTATTTTTAAGGCAACATTGGGGGTTCAATTTCAAAAACCAAAGTCGGTCGCGAGAGTGGTCTGATTTTGAACCAGAGATGATGACTTTTAATTTTCGATAGGAAATATGTCTACGAATTTGTTAAAATTAAGAATTTATCACTTTTCAAAATGTCCATTGAAAATTGCACGACTGTGCAACTGTTGCTATGATGATTAAATTATCACCGATTTCCTGCGAAAAGAGCTTTCTCTAACACAGATTTCAAAATTGAGTTCCATTCAATCACCACGTTTGGTGAGTGATGGTGTTCTCCAGTACACAACGAAAGGCTCCCCGCAAGCAGCTAGCTAGCTTTGATAATGTACCCAGCAACAAAACGTTTGTGGTCAAATGCGTCAAGTATTGAAGTGGTACAAATAAATTCTCGCAATGACCCAATACCACATGACCACGTCAATTAGCCAGAAACACTTCAAATTACGGTAAGGTTTCCTCCAATCATTTTTCGCTTTTTTATTATCTATTGAATAAGCCGTGAGTTTTGCGCATGAAAATGTGTAATTTTTTTTATAATAAAACGAGGCGTTTCCGTGATGGGAAAAGAGATTTCCCTAACACAGTCGCCGAATATTGATACCGAGCACTGAGCATGCCAGGCGGTACCTATCTTTAAATATGCCTTTTGATGCAAATTTTAAGCCCCTCCTATTCAGAGAATTATGCCGAAAAAAAAATCTAGCCTATCATCTCCAAGAACGTTGAGGATAAATTTCCACAGCATTGTTCTAAACTAGTTAAAGAGTAAGAGCTTGTATCCAAGGCATATCGTCCATGACTTACTTGTACTCATGGACAACGACAGAGCACCTCACAAACAGAACTCTCAAATTGCTTCCGAAATTCAGCCTATCGAACTTTTTCACTGATACCGAGTTAAGAAATCAATTTAATATATACGATACTTTTTCTGTGACAGCAAAACTACCTTTCGTAATCCTACGTAAAATCTACGGTCGTGTCTTGGACACAACCTCTTACTTGTTTTAAAATGGTGTACTGTGTTTTAGGATTAAAGGTCGAATGAAAGTTAGGGGGACAAATGGCCAAAAGGTTGAGTAAAAAAAAGTTCAAAGGGACAAAAGGAAAACAATTGTTGAAATGAACAAAAATGCAAAGGACAAAATGTCGAAGGAAAAAAGATAGAATCGAATAGTGTAACAAAGAATTAAAACAGCCAAATTTTGTTTTTGACTTTATTAGAGAGAAGCAGTAAATCCAATATGAACCTTGTCTAATCCAACTGAAAATTCTTGAATGTTTTCTTCGTTCAAATATGGGTCATTCCAGCTCAAGTGGGTACAGAATTTTTAAAAGTTGTGGTCGATGTCACCGATTTGAGCCATACTTGACCAAAACGCTTATTTTGGCATTCTGACCAAACGTCTTTTTTGATTTTACTTTAAAGTGCCTAGATCCTTCTGGGTATCATTCAAGTAACAGCTGACATCCCCAACTGAAATTTAAGATATGTACCTGCTAATACATCTGATTTCATCATCCTTCTAAAGCACAACGTATTTTTCACTTTTAGGACCACAATTAAACTATGGACAGAAGCAAATAAATGAGCTAGTTATGATTTCATGTAATGAGAATCCTGCCCAGAACATGTGAAAAATAATATAAAAAATTATTGTTCTACCGGCGTGAAGGAATTCAAGAAAAAAAAAATATCAAATAGCATTGATTTTCCACCAGAAAAGCTAAAAAATACCACTCACTCATCTGGTCATATCTTAAAAACTATTTGTTCAAATAATTTGCCCTTGGAAACACATCTAATAGAAGAGTTTTCCAAAGTGTGGTGAAAATTTGAGCCCAAAATATTTAGAAATAAAAAATTTTGCCCATGGTGAAAATAGGCAATTTTTTGACATTTTGGATACCTACCGGTAACCAGCCCGTTTACTGTAGTTACTATAACAAAAACAAAATGTGGTTACACCTATAAAAATCTACATAAAAAAAAAACCTTTAAATAGACGTTCTAAGATCACGAATAGCTTATTTGGTTGTGGAGTAATTTCTTCTGAAAGTTGAAATTTTTAAAAATATCGAAAATCCAGGATTCCAACCGAGAGGGATCTAGGGCAAAATCAAAAAAGGCGTTTGCTTAGAATGCCAAAATATGCGTTTTGGCCAAGTTTGGCTCACATCGGTGACATCGACTACAGGAGGTGTACCCACTTGAGCTGGAATGACCCATATGTTGTTATGTTTTTTGACAGATAAGAGCTTTGGAACATTTTTAATCTACCGTATGCGTGATAATGTTTGCACCATCGTACAAATAAGGTTTACGTTTCACCTGTGCATACAATGCCTTGGTTTTCTTTGCATGCACGTAACCTATAGCTCATACGGTAGTAGGCTGTTTATAAAAGAAATTGATTTACTTAGTTTGACAGTTGCACCATGACGAAATGGCAGCGTATTCGTGATTTGTCCCACGCGCAAATGTCGCAAAAAGACATTTCAATCGCCGTGGGAGTGTCCCGGTGGACCGACAAAAGGGTTTTAGACCGAGAAAAGAAAGGACAACTATCCGCGAAGGTGACCACAGGTCGTCCGAGGTCAGTTCGGGTTCCGAGGGTTATCGCTGCTATCAAAAGGAATACGGAATCAGTGACTTTACGGCACGGAAGATCGTAAAGGAAGATTGCGGGACGAAGTCGAGGGCACGGAAAAAAAACTCACATGATTACCAACCACATCCGGGAGTTACGAGTCGACCGATGCAAGAAAATCTTGAACTTCCTTAAGAAAAAAATCCAGTAATCCTGTTCACCGACGAGAGCATGGTTACCGTCGATCCCGTATCAAATTCAAAAACCGACCGGCAAGGTTGCAAAGACTCATTTCAGCTAAAACAATGTTTTTCTAAATTATGAAATAATTAGATGCCATGATCAAATTTTGAATTGGTAGGATACAAGAAGAGGTTGCAAAGAATGTGTTTGACATATTAAACCTGTTTATTTCACTTCATGAGAGTCACAATCAGCGATTTTTCACAAACTCACTCACTCACTCACTCACTCACTCAGCGATCAGCAAATCGCTGATTGTGACTCATAGAAAGCAAAATTTACAGGTTTTATGTTTCTAACGCATACTTTGTAACCTCTTCTTGTAAGTTACAAGTAAAACATGCGATCATACCATCTTTTGGTTTTATTATTCCGAAAAACATTATTTTAGCTGAAATGAGTCTTTGCAACCTTGCCGACCGGTATATTAGTTCTCTTCCGGTAAACGACGTGGCCTACGAGCACAAGAATGTGTATCTGACCAAGCATCCTGCTAGTGTTATGGTGTTTGGATTGGTGGCTTCCGATGGCAAAAAAATGGACCCGGTCTTCATTCCAGTAGGCGACAAGGTCAACACGGAGGTCTACATCGGGATTTTAAGTAAGCATGTTCTTGCGTGGATCAAAGAACAGTACGGTCCGAAGCCAAATGATGTATTTGAACAAGATGAGGCTCCGTGCCACACCTCGAACCGCACTCAGAGGTGGTTGCAGGAATATCTTCCGTTCTGGGTGAAGAATATGTGGCCGCTATCCAGCCTCGATCTTAATCCGCTGGATTACTCAACATGGCTCGTCATGAAGGCCAAGGCCTGTTCTAAACACCACCCGAGTACAGCAAGCCTCAGACAAACATTGACCCGTACCTGGAGAGAAATGGATCCAGACTACATTATTGGAACCTGCCGTGCATTCCGGAAGCGTGTGGAGGCCGTAATTACAGCAAGTGACTCGATCGATGATTAACATAGTTCAAGACTCTGAGAAACATCCCCCTTGAATAAATAAAAAAAAACTCGAAAACGAAATTTTTGAGATTTTTTTAATTTTGACATTGCTCAATGGTGCAAACATTATCACGCATACGGTATTTAAGGAATTCCGATAATGATTCTTCGAGAATCGAATTCTGAGGAAAACGATAGTTCCAATATAATTTTGATCAGAATACAAATCACAAAATATGGATTTCTAATTTCCGAAGCAGTTCTGTGGAAAGCTGGAAGTGAATTCTGCGGTGTAATCATAGTGAGATTAGTAAAGAAAAGAATTTATTCATGCGAATTCTGTGAGGAAAAATTCTCTGTGATTCCGAAAATAAAGTGGGGACCCACAATACTGCGTCACCGTAAGCGTTGACGAAGGGGTTCGTCCGTCAAATGAATGGTGTAACGCTTGTCAAGTTGCTTTTCCACCAACATCTCTACTTGGTGACTTCAAATCGACGCTGCGTCAGTCCGTCAATTTTGATCATATTCAAATTTGACCCTGACGCTGACGGTGACACAGCTTTGTGGGTCCCGCTTAAATCCAAGAAAATTCAGAGGCTGATTTCAGGGGAATTCTGAGAGCAGAAGTTCAAGTGAGGGAATTTAAAGAGAATTTCGGGAGAAAATTATTCAATTTCTTCTGAGAGCTATTAACATTCCCTTTATAGAGTTTACTTCAAGGGATTTCTGCATAGAATTCCGGTCTGCAGAGAATTTCGAGTGAGTTATGCATAAAATTTGAATGCAATACCAGAGATAATCCCAAGATTATTATAGGGGAATGCTTAAAAGAGTTACGACCAAATAGATCTTAAGACTGCGGTTGATCCTTTAAAAGTAATGCGAATATGTTGAGTTATTATTTCAGGAATGGTTCCAATTATGGTACGATCATGGTCCGCACCATCTCAAGTCACTCTTACCCTTATGTTTTTTGTTAATAATTCATAAAAGGACACCGATTTAAGGCACTTATTTCAGCAAATGCTTATCTACGGACTTACCATTTGTATCGCATGGTCGTACAGAATCTTATCAGCGGTAATATTGCTAGCCCCGGCCCGTTGCAGCAGTCCCGTTCCGTTCAGCTTCTTCGATTCGCACAGAGTCGACCGGTATCGCGTGTGCATCATCGAAAGTACTAAAATTAATTCATTAGTTAATATCAGCATCACTTCGCACGTTTCAATTCATTGAACAACCCACCATTCTTCACCGTGTCCGATGGCTTCAGGTGTCCACTCTGTAGTTGGGACGACGCCAGATGCATACCGGACGAGAGAAGATTGAGAGCCCGTACCAGCAGAACCAGTCGTTCGGCTCGTTTGCAGTGCTCTGGCGCGTGCGGTGCAATCGGTTGAGCATCGGCTGACATTAGTGCCGACAGTGGTGCACAACGGGAATCCGCCACCTCTAGGATGCAGTCCGTTAGGGCGATGACGAAGTTTAGCTTCGCTAGGGTTTCATTGTGTTCGCGCTGCAAAAGAAAAATTGGATCGGTTGGCATATCGGTGGTATACTGAGGGGTTGAAGATCGAACTTACGTCCATCAGCGTTTCAGCTGGCAGTTCCGGTGCATGGAAGTTGATCGGATGATCGTCCAGATTATTATCATGTAAGTAACTCTGCAGTCCAGCGGTTGCCCCCATTTCCGGTAGAGTGAAAGCCCTGGTTCCCAACGGATGAGTATTGTTGTTGTCGTTGGTCATCAGCGTTGGGCTACCTAGGGCTGGAAGCTTCGATAGGGCATTTGATAATACTGGCGAACTGGTGCCGGAGCGACGCAGAGGTGAATGATGTGACGCTGGACTCACCGTCCAGCAGGACGGCGGAGGAGGCGTTTCCGACAGAGATCCACCCGACGTTGATCGTCGGCGGCTGCCTGTGGGAGGAGTACCGATTGCGAATTGCACTGCCGGCGGCGATATTGAGCTAATATCACAATTACTGTTTCGATGCTCGGATCGCTTCATGCTGATCGGCTGAGATCGAGGTATTGCATTGGGGATGTTCTGTGGGGTTGAGTTTGAAGTTTGTTGGTCAAATCGAAACTATAAGAGCATGTTCAGGACCAGCTTACCTTTGGTGGCGTCTGACTTTGCTGTCGAGAAATCTTTCTAGCTGCCGTCGGGACGGGCTTCGGCTCCGAGATCGGCAGCGTGCTGGGTCTCGGTGGACTCGCCTGAGCGTTTGTAGCTGTTTGAGGCACTCTAGTTGGTTTACTGAAATTCATTAGAAGTACATTAGAAATCTACACAATTCCGGGATTTTCTTCCGAAAGACAAACCTCTTATCATAATTTCCACTGCATGGATCTACCGGTAGATTGTTTGGTACTAGCACAAAGTCATCCGAATTATCCTGACTGCTGTTGGGTGTGTTGTTAGCGCTACCGATCGTGGCAACACTGTCGTCGATCTCAAGTGGCACTGGAAATGAAGCAAACAGACTTCGCCATTAGAACCCGTTCGACCTGGATTAATCCTCCATATTAATTCGAAGATTCCACTCTCACTTTAATTCTCAATTTACCGAGAAAATAGCGAACGCAACCTTTTTGCGACGTTTCTGAAAATTCGGAAACACAACAACTGCGTCTCAGGAAAATGGTTCTCTCTGCAAGTGGAGACGAATTTAAAATGAACGAAAAAGATCGTTGATCGTTTGCCAAATTTGCACTTCACGCCCGCCGTCCGCCGTTGGGAAAATAAATGTACGTACTGGCTGACTGGCGGTACTTACCAACTAGCAAGAAAGAAAAGTGAAATGCATTCGTGACAACAACGGGAAAGGAACCGGCGTTAAACATCAATGAGCAATATCAAGTGAGATGCGCAAGTGCAGGAGAATGGGATGACAGCGTAATCGGTTGCCGTAATTATTGCTTGCATATGCAGATCGGATTTGTGGTGTGGAAAAAAAAAATGCACGGTCGAGTTTTTTTTGGTCGTTTCAATTTTTGTAGGGGTAATTAGGTTAGTATTTCCCATGAATACGACATTTGATAAGCCCTTTGCAACAGAAAGTATATTAGTATATATTTGTCCCAAATCACTATAAACGTAAATCAATAAACAAATAAACATCGAAAAGCGTATCTGCATTCGCAATTCAGAGAGCAATAATTATTGTGCAATTCTTATCGCAAGCAGAAATTGATCAGGTCCGAACTTTAATAAAACCAAGCTTGTTACTTGGGACAGAGCAAGCGATGTCTCGACAGACAAAGCTTGGTAACATTCAGTGCTTCAACCACGGATTAGGGACTCGGCTCCGCAGCGCCAGTGAAGGCACCAGAACAGTTACGTATCTTTCCAGAGGAACCTCACACTGGTCAGCTGCTATTAGACGATTTCGTCTACCACATGGATGAAGTAGTGGCGCAGTTCCGTGACATGGACCGATTGTTGCACCACAGCGTACAGAAGGTACTCCCGCAAGTTGGCAGATGCAGTCAAGATTTTGAACTAAGACGTTCTACAGCATCTCAGCAGTACTTGGAGGACCTGAACTCTATAGTAAACAGTCATTATCGCGAAAAGAAACGATTCGTTCTGGACTAAAACCGACCATGCGTCTCCATGATATTTAACGGATTCGGTCATACTCATTTTTTCCTCTGTTCGGGTCATAAAACCACTGCGACCAGTAATTTGATCTATTGTAGTAAATCCCGTGTCCTTAGTTTAGTGCATATCGTGTATTATAACATCACTATTGATAAATGATGAAGTAGAGAAATGGCTCCAATGTCAGCCTATGGATCTAAGATTGGGCCCATCGCTAAAAATCAGCTATTTATCAATTTTATCTAGATGAACGCGTCATTGGGAAGGTACTAATGGATATTTTTGGTAGCTATTTAAATTTTAGTCGATTGCTGAATTTAAGTATGGGCCTAAGTTAGGGGCATTTAGGCCGACATTACATTCAGTCCCCTATTTGTTTTTGATAAAGTTGTTCGAAGAGTGCACCCTCCAAAAGCGCGAACCTTTGTCAGTTAAAATTGGATTACTTAGCAACAAAATTAAGTAATGACCCCGAAAAATGACCTTGAATCAGAACCCTAGTCTTAACTACTTCAAACTAGAGAACAACGAATAGAAGATTAGGAATCACATAGATGAAGACTAACTAACTCATTTTTCCTTGTTTCAAGATCATTCTCGATTTAGGCAACCCGAGGACTAGTTTGAAGTAATCAGGACTAGTAATCGGAGTTAGATCTTAAATCCTGTCATGTACCACGAAAAGGTGATCTATCCACGTTACGGGTCATATACTACCCATAATCGCATAACTGTCCCATATGAAAAGGCAACCCAGCAAAGATGGACTGATATGCGATTTGGCAGTATATGACCCCTACACGAAATCAGCTGTCGAAATTCACCGTACCGAGATAATGAAGTGATTTCTTCGGCAAAATTGAGCTACATTACGTCTACTATACAGAAAAATGAGGAATAGAAATTACATGAACACGTTCATGACCTAGATCTCCAAAACCTCAAGTATAAATAATGTGTCAATACAAGGGAACAGTTCGAAGCATGAGAAACGCAGTATTAAAGGTACTCCAAATCCTCCTGGAGTTGAGAGCCCTGCGCTTTGATCAGAGAGCGTATAGGGCATCGTTGTGCCAGGTTGGTTGTGGCACATTTCTAGTATGAGAGGGTGATTGCAGTTTGCTCAAAAGTGCCTGAGTAAAATTCAAATACTTTCGATGATAACCCGTAGTTGCGATAGTGAAGCTGTATACCCATATTCTCGAACAGAATACAGAAACCTTTTTATTTGATTTTGTGAGGGGGATGGGTGTCGGGTGTGGACGGGCATAGGGTGTTAATATTAAGTTTACATTAGGATAAAATTGAAACATTGGGAAATGTTTCACTTCAGTATGAGAAGTACTTCACATAGCAACCGATGAACCATTCTGATGGCCCACATTACCGTGCAGGTGCCGTGGGATGGCAAGGTCCAATAAGGGACAGCTTGATGTTTATAAAGTACTATCAGTTAAAGCTGTACTTTTGAGCTTTATCTCTATATATTCTTTGGTGTTTCCTAGCAGATAATCATGTTGGTGTTCGCTGATTCAACGAGTAAATGGGATAAGCATTGAGCTTTCCATAGTTTGGCGTTGTTGAACTTGCACAACTTTTCATGTGAGTACCAAAGTAACCATATAATCACAAACTAACTTTAAATGTAGGTTCAGAGTGAGTCATTGTCCCTGAGATACGATATGATTAGTTGGGTATTCAGATGAAACTATTACTTTAAAAAACTAATCCTGGATGTATCTCTTTTTCGTTTGTATGTTAAACTAATTGATATTACTAACCAAGGTTACAAATACTCATTTCAGTAAATGTTTTTTTTTTTTAACTATGAAATAAATAGATGCTATGATCATATTTTGAATTGGTAAGTTACAAGAAGAGGTTGCAAAGAATGTGTTTGACATATTAAACCTGTTTATTTCACTTCATGAGAGTCACAATCAGCGAATTTTCACACACTCACTCACTCACTCACTCACTCAGCGATCAGCAAATCGCTGATTGTGCCTCATAGAAAGCAATTTTTTTTTTATCTGAAATGAGTATTTGCAACCTTGTTACTAACCGCACCGAGCGTTCATTCCGGGTGGTGAGCGAATCTGAAGAAGAAGAACATGACTATACAGGATGGGTGGTACCATGAGCCCCTTCCGGGAAGGAGTGTATTGTTAATGGACCTGGTCTACAAGTCAAGGTTGGCTTCTGTGATGATAAGTATCACATAAAAGGTAAAATGGGTAGCATCATCTTCATCGAAATGTAAGTATTATTGACATAACAATCGACTCGCATAAGTGATGATTCATTATATATAGAACATTTACATAGCATAAACATTTAAATACATATACAAAAGGGAAGCGGGCACCCGATTGAAGCGGTTTGGACGGGGAGAGTGGGAATGCCAACTCCCTGTTGATAACATTTCGTGGATAAAGAGCGGGCTCTTCTCCCCCACTCAATGGGGCATCTTCCTGTTTGGGGGCTCGTCTTTTGACCAATTGTGGGATCATGTTGCTGGAAGGGGATTCTTTACTGCCCCGTGGATGCGTATAGGCGACTTTGCCTATCGATCCACCCAATCCGTTTTTGGCCCTTCATACAGCGACAGGTTGAGGACAATCAGAGGTTATTAAGCTTGATCAAGACAAACAGAGAAGAGAGCCCACTGCTATTGGACTTAGTTTCCGTGCTAAAATGGGTGGTAAACCACTATCATCATCATCATCATCATCAAATCATCCTGGAGTTGAGATCATGAAGTTCTACTGGGTCAACAAAGCTATGTACGATGTCTCGATCGATTTCCCGAACCCCTTGATCTTAATGAAACGCAATAACATTCTATGTGACACATAAATGTATTGCCATAAGTTTTTTAGTCCATAAATAGTTCTGGAGTTAATATCTTGAAGTTCTACAGACTCAACGATGTATTGTATGATGTACCGAAAGAATCTTTTTTACTTTAATGGAGCTTCATAACATTATGCGATGCATAGTTGTGTAATCTAATTTTCTATGATTCGGAGACGAGCCAGCCAACGGCTGAAAGTCTCCTTAATAAAGATATAAAAAAAAATTCTATGATTCTCTAAATTATCCTGGAGTTAACATTTCGATAAAGAGCAGTTCCAGGTCAAATAGCAAAAGAAAATGTGAATTTTTGACTTGACCTTCTCCAGTTTTCATGAAGCTTTGCATAATTGTTTGTTATGGGCAAACATTCACATTTATGCTGAAATTCGGCCATTTCAAAATGACATTGTTTTCAAGTAGGCGTCTCGAAATTTACCTCTACAGACTCAACAAACTATTGACCAATGTCTTGATTCAGTATACAAAACCGTAGAGCTTGATCTTGATGATCTACCGACTCAACGAGGTATTGTACGTTGTCCTACTCTATTTTCAAACCCGTAAAGCTTTGTAGAGCTCCATAATATCATGTGAGATATATAGTTGCAATCGCAAAGTATTTCGCGCTATCCAAATTATCCTGAAGTTTAGATCTTGATGTTCTGCATGCTCAACTAAGTATTGTACGATGCCAAGAGGGGTGACACCCCTCACCATCCCTCTCCAAAGGGGGAGTTTGGTAAAGAGAGATGAAAAAACCGATTTGTACCTTCCTTAAAAGTTGTCCTAGTTCGCTATTCTAATATCTATATACAATCTTCACACTGCCGTACTCTAACGGAACTATCAACTCTATGCTTTCATCTACTCCATCTATCGTATAAAAATTACCACTACAGTCTGTTATTTGAAATTAGCATCTTCAACTATGTAAATCGTTGACTTCACGTAGAAGTAAAACTAAAAACATATAGTCAAAGTGCAATGTTTACTCCTCAGCA